GGGCGCCCCGCGAGGCCGCGCCTCCCTCCTCCCTGCCTCCCGCCCTCTTCCCAGGGCCTGAGCCCGAGGGCGGGAGGGGATCCAGCAGCCACAGGAGGCCGGCCGCGGGCGGGATGGAGGCGGGGGCTCCGGGGAGCCGAGGGGGGCTGGCTGTCTGCCCCCTGCCCCCGGTCGGCTCCAGGCTGGGGGGAGGGCTGCTCAAGCTGAGGACAGTGCTTGACCTGAGGGTTACTAAGGCGGGACTAAGATGTCCCTTTGGCCAGGTTGGCTGCCTGGCATCCCGAGGTGGTGAAACTCTCGGGCTGCAAAGCATCTTTATGATCAGTGCTGGAAAGAAAGAGGTGGTGCCCCTCTGGTAGCTCAGCCCAGTGTCTTTGGCAAGACAGGCCTACCTAAGGTCGGCTTCTCAGGCTTCCCTGTTCTCCACAGCACATGGTGATGAGTTTCCGGGTGTCTGAGCTCCAGGTGCTCCTTGGCTTTGCTGGCCGCAACAAAAGTGGACGGAAGCACGAGCTCCTGGCCAAGGCCCTGCACCTCCTCAAGTCCAGCTGTGCCCCCAGTGTCCAGATGAAGATCAAAGAGCTGTACCGCCGACGCTTCCCCCGAAAGACACTGGGGCCCTCTGATCTCTCCCTTCTCTCTTTGCCCCCTGGGACTCCTCCCGTGGGCTCCTCTGGTCCTCTAGCTCCCATCCCCCCTGCCCTCTTGGCCCCTGGCACCCTGCTGGGCCCCAAGCGTGAAGTGGACATGCACCCCCCTCTGCCCCAGCCTGTGCACCCTGATGTCACCATGAAACCATTGCCATTCTACGAAGTTCACGGGGAGCTCATCCGGCCCACCACCCTTGGTACGGCTCTTTGTGATCCTTCCGTCTTTCTGGACTCCATGCCTCTTCCCCAAGCCTTTCCTAGGCTTTAGTCCTGTGGAATCAACCTGGGATGGGGGCAACTTCTGTAGCTGCCAGTGCACTTGGGAATAACTGCCCGTTTTTGTCCTCAGCATCCACCTCTAGCCAGCGGTTTGAGGAAGCGCACTTTACTTTTGCGCTCACACCCCAGCAAGTGCAGCAGATTCTCACATCCAGGTACATCTCTCCAGCCCTCTGGCCTCATCCTAGGGTGGTTACCCCTGGACTCTGCTCTCTTTCTTCTCTTTACCCTGCTCTCCGTATCCATCACCTTGAACCTCCTTTGTGTCGTTCTCCTGTATGTCTCTCTGCTATCCCCTGGTCATCTAACTTTCTGTGTTTCTGTCTGTTCACCCTGCCCTCTGGGGCCACAGTCACATACTGATGCGTCTCCTTCTCCCTTCCTGTTACAGAGAGGTTCTGCCAGGAGCCAAATGTGATTATACCATACAGGTGCAGCTAAGGTGAGTTGATCTTCCCTCCCTCCCTCCCTCCCTGGCTCCCTTTGGGGATGGAATGAAATAAGGGTATGACAGGTACTCCTAGGAGATATCCTTGCTGTGCTGCATCCACCAGTCCTGGGACTCTTGTATGCTGGGGTGTTCAGCTGAAGAAACTGCCCCCATTCTTTTATCTTCTCTCATCTCTTCCTAGGTTCTGTCTCTGTGAGACCAGCTGCCCCCAGGAGGATTATTTCCCCCCCAACCTGTTTGTCAAGGTCAATGGGAAACTGTGCCCTCTGCCGGTAAATGCTCTTCCCTTCTTCCGACACTAACCTCTTCTGTTTCAGTTCCTAAGTGTTAACTACAAACTGATTTTGAAAGAGACATGCCTAGCAAGGTGCCTGGTACATAGTAGGTGCTCAGTTAACTGATCTAATCAATATAGAGAATTCTAAGACAGGGCTGAACAAGGCTTCTTTCAGAACCCAGAGGAGTGACGTTAGCTCGACCCAAATGCTCAGGGAAGGCTTCTCAGAAGTTATGACTCCAGAGCTGAGAGTTGGACCTATGCTTCCTCCTCTGGAACTCAGTGAGTGGGCTCCTGGTCAGTGAATAAGCTTTCCTTTCACTCAGGAGTGAACCCCACACACAACGGTAGTGCTCCAGTTTTGTGAGTCACTGAATAGGCCCTCATCTCCTTGATCAATGAGCTGGCCTTCCTTCCAGGGAGTGAGTAACCCGTGACAAGATGTTTTGACCAGTCCCTCCCTTCCCCAGGGTTACCTTCCCCCTACCAAGAATGGGGTTGAGCCCAAGAGGCCCAGCCGCCCCATCAACATCACACCCCTGGCTCGACTCTCGGCCACTGTTCCCAACACCATCGTGGTCAACTGGTCATCTGAGTTTGGACGGGTGAGCATGGCTGAGTCAGGAAGGATGGAGAAGCCTGCAACACAGGGAGTGAGGAGGAATCACCCAAGTGTCTTGGGTTTGGGAAACATTTTCCTCTTTATGGGTCCCTCTGCCTTAACCTGCTTTCTCTGCTCCTCGTGGGACTAAGGGTAGAGGGGTGGTGTGCAAAGCAGAGGCTAATTGTCTCCCCTGCCTCCAAGTAGAATTACTCCTTGTCTGTGTACCTGGTGAGGCAGTTGACTGCAGGGACTCTTCTACAAAAACTCAGAGCAAAGGGCATCCGGAACCCAGATCACTCCCGGGCACTGAGTGAGTAGCATCCTGCCCCTCTTCCCCACTCTCATCTGGATCCAAGGCCCTCTAGCCTTTTGAATCAAATCCACACCGCTCTTATTACAATTTACCTCATCTCTGACATTAACCTCAACCCTCCCCCAGCCCCCTTACCAATCGTAGTGGTTGAGAAGTCGGACCACTCCCAGGCACTGAGTGACACCCTTGCATTTCCAATTATACATCTGTTTTGCACCTCCCAGACTCTAACTCTGGCTCCACTAGAATATGGGTTCTCCAGACTGGAAAGAATCTTAAGGATCATCTAGTCTAACTCTCTTGTGATGCTTCAATTCCCTCTAGGTCATCTCTGCCAAAGTGTCACCCAGCTGTATTTGAGCATCTTCAGGGATGGGGAAATCTCCCCTCACCCACCCAGCCTTCATAATCCAGATCCCAGACCTACCCCCATGTGACAGCCCACTGGTCCCCAAAGGCTCTCTACCCAGCTGCCTCTCAGCCAGAGCCATCTGCTTCTGGCCTCACCGCCTCCCAGGCGTCCTCTCCAGCCTTGCTTGCCTCATGGCTCTGGTTTCACTCTTGTTTCAGTCAAGGAGAAATTAACGGCTGACCCGGACAGTGAGGTGGCCACTACAAGTCTCCGAGTGTCACTCATGTGCCCGGTGAGTACAAGGCAGAAGAGAAGGGGGAGGAGGGTTGGGTTAAACCTCTGGACTCAGAGGAAGGTTCCTAGAGCCATTAGAATGAGGCTTTCTGACCAGAGAATTCCTCTCTCCACAGCTAGGGAAGATGCGCCTGACTGTCCCTTGTCGTGCCCTCACCTGCGCCCACCTACAGAGCTTCGACGCTGCCCTGTATCTACAGATGAATGAGAAGAAGCCAACGTGGACATGTCCTGTGTGTGACAAGAAGGCTCCCTATGAATCTCTTATCATTGATGGGTAAGGCCATTCTGCATTCTGCTTTATCTTACCTAGGACAGCCACTAGGACTCTCTCTCATATATGTACGTGTTATAGATATGTATATATATGTGTGCGTGTGTACATACATATATACATATTCTGTATCTCCTTTTATAATATATACATACATGTTTCCAACACTGAGGACTTATTATAAACTAGATGTGGTGCTGAGCACTCTGCACACCTTATCTCATTGAATCCTTATAAATAACTATGAGATAGGTACTGTCATTATGAGAGAGGGAACTGGGGTCCAGAGAAACTGAGTATTTTTCCCAAAGTTATATTGTTAGTAAGTGGCAGAACCACTGCACTGAACTGTTATATCGCTTATAGCAACTACCTGATCTCTCACTGAGCATAACAGTGAAGTTCTTTTGAAGGCCTGGATATGCTGATCTAGTTAGTTCCCACCCCCTTCCAGAGCCTACATTATGGTTCTTATTCCCAGTGCCCTTTTTAAGGTGGTTTATGGAATTCTTGTTTTGTCCCTAGTAGTACATGAAATAGGTGCTTAGAATGTATTTATTTTAAAACTTAGCATTTAAAGTTTGCAAAGCTCTTTTACATATTTACTTGATTCTAACAACTCAGTTCAGTAGAGTGGATAATATCCCTATTTTACAGATGAGGAAACTGAGGTTCAGGAAGGTGAGTAGCAGAATTCCCTGGCTATTGTCCCTGCCATCTCCCAGCCCCATGAATTCCTTTCTCTTCCCTCCCCCAGTCTATTCATGGAGATTCTTAATTCCTGCTCGGATTGTGATGAGATCCAGTTCATGGAAGATGGATCCTGGTGCCCATTGAAACCCAAGAAGGAGGCATCTGAGGTTTGCCCCCCGCCAGGGTATGGGCTGGATGGTGAGTGATCCCCTGTCCCCCAGCTGAGCTAAGTCTTGAATGGCCTCTTCTCTGAGACACAGTCTTCTTACCACCCACAGGCCTCCAGTACAGCCCAGTTCAAGAGGGCAATCCCTCAGAGAATAGGAAGAAGGTTGAAGTTATTGACCTGACATTAGAAAGCTCATCAGATGAGGAGGACCTGCCCCCAACGAAGAAGCACTGTCCTGTCACCTCAGCTGCCATCCCGGCTCTACCTGGAAGCAAAGGGTATGAGGAAATAGTCTGAATCTATAGCAGAAGGACAGAGGAAAATGTCAGGACAGCTTTCTGGTTGCTGGGCAAACCCTGGTGCAAAGAGGGGACTTTGGAGGCTGAGCTGGGAGAGGGCATCTGTGGTTCACTGGCTGCCCCAGTTCAGTTCCTTGTCTCTCCTCAGAGTCTTGACATCTGGTCACCAGCCCTCTTCGGTGCTCCGGAGCCCTGCTATGGGAACGCTGGGTGGAGATTTCCTGTCCAGTCTCCCACTACATGAGTACCCACCTGCCTTCCCACTGGGGGCAGACATCCAAGGTAGGACACTGACCACAGAGTGGGGTTGGCACTTCCATCTGCCCCAGCACCTGATCAGAACCCCTGCTCCTGTTCAAGCTTTCTGGGTCTGTTTGCAAAGGGCCATGATCCAAGGAACTTTGTTTTGTTTTTTGTGGTGATGGGGTCAGACCGGAAGTTGATTGTAATTTTCTTCTTACCAGGTTTAGATTTATTTTCTTTCCTTCAGACTGAAAGTCAGGTAAGTGGTCCCTTCTCCTGTGAAGATCTCAGATCTTTGGAGCTTCCTTTCTGGGCACTAATGGGCACCCTCCCTCTCTCATTTTCCCTGTAGACCCACACCTGCTTCTCTGAGAGAAGGGGATGGTACAGGCAGTTGACTTCCCTCCGAGGCCCCACTAGTACTTCCTCATTCTCACCTGCCTTCCTCAGTCCCTGTTACTGTTCTCTCTAGAGATTTCAGCGTAGTTCTGCCCCTTGCCTGCTCACCCCCTCGTCCATGTGCACTTGAGCACCGTGCCTGCCTCAACCAGACATTCCACACATTTCACACACCCACAGGGCTAAGAAAATAGCAATCTGGAGGGGCTGTCTCAAGTCAGGGGATCAGGGTGGGCGTGGGAAGGTAGGGAAAGAATCAGAGAGAGGCTCTCCTGCTTGGAGAAGACCTTGGGATCCAGAGGGGTTGATTCATCCCGTATGATATTTCCAAGATGAGTGATGGGGAGGCAGGTAAAGAAAGGATAAAACCCTAAACTGTGCCCTTGATTCCTCCCAGCACTATGGTCCCTCCGTCATCACCTCGCTAGATGAACAGGATGCCCTTGGCCATTTCTTCCAGTACCGAGGGACCCCTTCCCACTTCCTGGGCCCACTAGCCCCCACATTGGGGAGCTCTCACCGCAGCACCACTCCAGCACCCCCTCCTGGCCGTGTCAGTAGCATTGTGGCTCCTGGGGGGGCCTTGAGGGAGGGGCATGGAGGACCCCTGCCCCCAGGTCCCTCTTTGACTGGCTGCCGTTCAGACATCATTTCCCTGGACTGAGTCCCCTGGATTATGGAACCTTCACTGTCTCCCAGCGCTGAGCAAGTATGCTGTGGAGTCCAGACTCCTGGCCACTCTGCCACTTAGCGGGGTTTTGCCCAAAGGCAAGAAAGACCTTCACAGACACTAGTTTTTGGCCTCATCTCTGCCGGACAAGGCCAGCATCCAAAGGGTTAATATTTAACCTCTTTTTAAGGACATTTAGGTTCTATTTTTTGAAGTGGTCTTTAGATGGCGGGCATATTCATTTGGGTATGTTAACCTAGGCAGGGGGGCAAGTGGGATGGGATATGAGTTGGGGGAAGGGCTGAATTCTCAGCCTTGACTATCTAGAGCCTCATGGGGAAGGGGCCCTTCTGTTGTCCCCCAGATGCCCTCTCTTCCCAGTCTCCAAATCCATGGCTCAGTTCCATCCACATAGCCATTGTCTCTTCATGTCCATCCTGTTCTCTCTGGCCAAACAGACAGGTGGAGAAACTGAGACAGACACATGGACAGAGAACTCTATTTTGGGTTGCAGATTTTTGTACATAGACAAGGAAAACCAAAATGCGTCCAAAGACAACTTCCCCTGCCTCCTACTTCCCAGTATGCCTGAGGAGGAGGTATGGCCTCAGCCCTGATCCCCAGGGGTTTGGGAGCAGGGCCTGGCCTATTGCCCCGGGCTCTCTATTTATATATTTAAGTTCACAATGTTTCTTATGCTGACCAGCCCAGGGCTTGAACTTCTAAAGGTCCACTGCCCTGAGGTGAGGTCTGGCTCATTCTGCACCTTTCCTGGGAGGTGGAAGGACCCTTGTGCTGTCCCTAATCTCCTTTTTCAGGCTCCTCCAGGGCCTAGGACCTCTGTTGTAATTTTACTTTTTATTCCCAAAGTTGTACAAAGTTCTTACCCATAATAAAGGTTGTGAATCTTCTGTGTCATGGAGGTGGGCTGGGGAGGGGGTTATGTACTTGGCTTTCCAGGTCCCTGGTTTGGGGGAGGGGGTGTCCATGTTCTGTTCTCCCTTTGCAGGCCCAGAGTCCACATGAGCTCGTTTCACTTGGTAGGGGTGTCACTGAGGATTTCCAAGAGCAGTTCTCTCTTCCTCCCCCTCCCCACATGCCCACTAGTGCATTCAGCCCAATACTGTTCAGCCCTCCCGCCCTTCACCCTTACCTGCCCAGATGTTGCAGCCAGAGCCCGAGCGCAAACTTGGTCCCGGTGCTGACCCTCTCTTTGTCTTCTGCGGTGGCTGGGGTCGTCTGCAGCAGTGTGGACATGGGCAAGGCCAGAGGTCGAGCTCTTCCATCCTCTAGTTCCATTGCACTGCATAATGACAACTGTCTGAGCTGTGCCTGTGGCTTAGCCCACTTCCATATGCATCAAGTCATCTTACTCTCCCAACCACTGCAGGAGAGGGGTGGGTGGGTGTTAACCTCATTTTACAGAAAGGAAACAGGTTCAAGGAGGGTTAAGTGACTTGCCCCTATGGGAGAATGGGACACGACCCGGGTCTTCAGGGATAGCCAGTCAGGGCAGGAACCCTTGGAGTTTGATGGACAATGTCTGTGATCTTATGTGCTCTCTTCATTATCAGTGGACCAACTCTCCCTAAATCTCTCCCACCACACAAATTCCACCCCCCTCCCCCTGGGAGGAGATAGAAGCTGAATTTCTCAATGTGTATGTGTTGGAGGGTCAGGGAGAAGCTCCTACTTACAGGACAGAGGGTGGTAGGTCCTGGGGGAGATGTCTGGGTGTCTCTGTCCCATCCTCTGTGGCAGCCACTGCAGCTGCTACATCTGGGCCCAGCCATAGAAAGGCGCTCACCTCACTTGGGTTTGGCTGGATCCGGGCCTGGGGCCAGATATGTTGATCCCTTTATCAGGACCTCTATCAGGAGGCCTGTTCTGATCACAACCTACTCTCAGGTGGAGTGGAGAGAAACTTGGGGGGGGGGGGAAGAGGCTTTCTCTGACTTTCCCTCTCCCCCACCTTAGTCACAGTGACAACTAGTCTGCTTGGGCCTCCTGAGCCCCCCCATCCTTCCTCCACTGCCAGTCCTACCTGCAGCTGCTGCTGTGACTCCTGGGAGACCACAAGTAGATAGAGAACGATGTGATGGTATTTGGGGAGACCCCAGCTCAACCTAGGAGGGTAGGCAGACTAAGAAAAAAATGACAAAGATGAGAACTTTCGGTCTCTTCTTGAGATTTCGAAAATACAGCTGAGGAAGTGGAGGGTAGAGATGGTGCAGGAGGGGCACCCATGAGGATTGTGGGCTTGGGCACTCCAAACCACCCACTCCATTGTTTTTCCTGTGGCCAAAGGCAGGTAAGGCTGTTCTATGGGTTTTGGTGGGGAAGATGTTGAGGGTTCTTGGTTAAATAGAGAGGTCCCAGTCTCACCTCCCATAACCCCAGAGGGACCCAAGAGAACTGGCCCTGGAGCAGCTGTAGTCCACTCTCTTCCCAAAGCTCTCGAAGCCCGCAGTCCAACAGCTGGCAGGGAGAGAGGGCAAGTCAGGGGCCAGGGCCCCACCTCAGGCCACACCCAAGGTGGTCCCAGTCAGGTATCTGGGTTCAGGACAGGGTGCCGGCTGGGTCAGCTGAATGGCTGGTTACCTCTTCTTCAAGTTCCACGTGCCCACCTGCAACAACAGTGGGCCCAAGAGGTGAATGGGGTGTTCTTGCCCAGGGACCCCCACTCACTATTTACATTGCCTCCTCCAGCGGGCACAGATGCAGTCGCAGCCTCTTGTGTTTATGGGACAGACCCCATTTCTGGGCCTACTTCTCAGTCCTTCCGAGACTGAGCATAGCCCGCTGGGTGAAGAGCAAGTTCCTCCCTGGACTTGGGACGTTGCCCTCAGGGCGCTCACCTGGTGGTACCCAGAGGTTGGGGGAAACTCTGAGGGTGCGTGTTCTCCGGGTCAACAGGACTGTCCGGTCGCTGGACTGCAGAAGGACGGCCACACCTAGATCCACACTTCCATTCGGGGGCAGCTCTGTTCCCGGGGGCCTGGGCTGCTGGTCCAGGGCCGCAAAAGGGCAGAAGGGGGGTCGCTGGCCAGAGGGAGTCGGCTGGGTTAAGGTTTC